CAACTTCAGTTACCAAAGACAGTGAAAATTCACGCATGCTAATTTGGAGGAAGCTCAGCGCAGACTGGAAAGCGGCATCAGCAAGCGACAAATTGCAAAAAATATGGAATCCACCTTGCGAAAGCGATTCAAGGTATCTGATGTCCACTACACCGTATCGTACTATGCCCATCAGAACGTCGGTGGCAAAAGAGCCTAAAACGGCATAGTCTCATACTTTTCAATACCAACTATATTTCTTTTCCTGACACGTTTCTATTACGGTTATGGTATGATACATTATAGTGGGCATACCCCTTTAAATGTGGTATAAGTTCGCAGAATCATCAGGTTGCGTTGCATAAATTTGCAATTTCAAATGGCCCCACAAGAAAAAATCTAACGACATATCTGGCGACCTGCGCTGGTCATTCACAGGACCTCTATATGGAGCCCATCTACCAGGGAACCTAAGGTCCAAAAACTGTATAATATTCTGTGCAAAATCAGGAGGAGCACCGTCTTTTTGGACTGTCACCTCGTCTTCTATGTAAAGCTCATCACGTTCCATAATGTTGGTTATCAATGGATCAATAAGATCTTCTCACAATGACTGATACATGTCTCCAGTCAGATTACCGAGAAGAAAAAAAGGTCCAACAAGATAATTTCCACAGATACCAGCCCAAACGTTTAATTTTGCAAGAAGTTGGCCATGTACTTTTTGGAAAATCCTTAGATCTGACCAATACCCACAATTATTCGATTAACTGTACCATTTACGAAGAAAGTACATTCGTCCGAGAAGCAAACGTTAAATAGCATTATTATTTATCCGCTCAGTTAATTTCTTACAAAACTGCAAACGACCGTAATCGTCATCTTCATTGAGGTCGTGTACCAATCTTATTTTATACGAACGAAATTTGTTTTTCCGTAAAATGCTGTAATGTAGGCTCCATCGCAATGCCGTATAACTGCCAACCTACACTGCTTGCTACCGGCCATTTTTTTTACTAAATCTTTGACATATGAGTAATGAACATGCTTATCTGCGCGTTCTTCATTGAACAGAGCTGCCGTTGTGAACTACAATTTTTTTAATCAAAACAATTTTCACCCCTTCCGCTATATAGTGTAAATCATTATTGTTTTTGAGTTACCTACCACAAAATTAAACAAGTTACATTTAACCCACTAACAAACTTGCTTCCTTGCCTATGCACTTATTGCGCTTGTGTCAGATGCCATTTTTTGACATCAACACCTACTTGATAAACATTTAAATTGAGTTTTCTCTGGAACTACCTACAGACGGATTTGAAAAATAAAACCAGGTGTCAAATTCTTGACAGAATAGCTTCCTAGCTGAAACCAAAAATTGCCAACATATGTACGCACTTACAGACGGAAAAAATAAGAAAGGTGCATTTTTTACGCATGCATTTTGTTTGCTTTTATTAGAGGGACCTACCATCCAAATTTCGTTAAAATTGCTCCATAAATAAGAAAGTTGGATGTTGCACATGCGCAACTCGATTTTTTGCGCATGCATTTTGTTTTCTTTTATTAGGAGGACCTACCATCCAAATTTCGTTTTAATTGTTCCATAAATAAGAAAATTGCATTTCTGCGCATGCGCAACACGATTTTTGCGCATGAATTTTGTTTGCTTTTATTAAAGGGACTTACCATAGAAATTTCGTTTAAATTGCCCGTTATTTTTCTGTTCGGTATGCCTAAAACATATATACAAAATTTCAACAAAATCCGTCGAGCCGTTTTCTCAGAAAATTGCCAACAAACGTACGTACGTACGTACAGACGGAAAAAAATTTTATTCTTTAAAAGTTGCTTAAAATGGTCTAAAACGCCGACATTTGATGAAATTTTGAAATGTTCAAAAAACGGCTATCGCAATAGCTACCTAGCACATGCTAGGAAGCTAAAAAGTGCGGAAATAGTTATTTATACAACTAGAGAAGACAGTTTTTCAACTCGAGCTCTACGCTCATGTGTCAATTGAACGAGGCTTCTCAAGTTTTACCCATAATTTTTTTCTGAAACTACAATCAAAATTGAATAATTATCGTTTGCATTTTTGCAATAATGAAGAGTGACATATAGCAATCTAGATAGAGGTATGTTTCAAATTTAAATGTCATTATTAAGATTAACGCAGCAATTGTTTTTAGTTTCCGCACTAGAGAGGAAAATTGCATTTTCTTCACCCTTTTTAGAGACGAAAGTATTTGTTTCTAAAGTAGTTTTAGAAAAACAGTATGAACGTCCTTAAATTGAAACATAGCGGTTACCTACGATATGCTGTTGGTACGCAATTATATTACGCATTTTCTAAATCCAATGTTGGTAAATCGGAATAACGATTTAAATACTGGCATACGCTACCTACACCGAAAAACATTCCACACGTAAGCAAAATAGGTACCTACTATTATTTGGTGCACGTACTGAAGTACAACGAACAACTCCGCTATTCATGCCGAAGTAATAACGCACTGTACTGTTCCTGTCTTTCTGAATTTTGTGAAGTGAGACTACAAATTTTCCAGAATTTGTGCGTTCGTTTCATTTACGTAGCCGCATTATATACAAATGTGGCATTTATAGATGGATTTTTTAAAGGAAAATAAAGAGAAAACCTCGGAGAAAACCCTCATAATACTTACACATCAAATTACGAATGAAATTAATGTAGCGTTTCCGTTTTTTATGTCAAAAACAAATCATTTGGGGGGTGGGGAATAAATATTTTTGAGAGTGCCGCAATATCCGTCGACGTCTTCACTCGTCAGACCATGTGAATCAAAATGAAACTCGTCCCTTTCCCTACATACCTAAAAATTATTCTGTGCGATATCTCTACTGTTTTAGACTCGAAACCGAAAGCTCAGCAACCTACAAATTGTTTCACAGTGACAAATTCTTAATTTCCATAATTTTCAGGAATTTCATTTTCACTTAGTTAGGAAAAATGATATTGTATGGCTTGTGTGGCCAAAAATGGAGAGAACATGTTGAGTGATGTAATTCAATTGATACTGAAGAAATCTTCGAGTTTTTAAACTCAAAAATCAATGACTTTTTTAAAAGCCAATAGCCATTCTTAGCGCATTTTTTAAGGGTGAAAAAAAAGCGATATTGTTTGCATTTTGTCTGTCCGCCTGTTCGGACTCACTTCTGCGGTTTTGAATTACTTTTAGAGGAATTGTCCTAGAGGCATGGAATTGCATTAGGTAGCTTATACATTGAAAGTGTGCTAGACGATCTTCAAATATTGTTGTCTTAAGGGGGCCACCCCCATTAATTATTTCCCGCTGTTTCTGAAAGTAAAACGTGATGGTACATGAGACCCGCTGATTTGTCAACCGGTATGTTTCATGGTAATCTAATTAGAGGTCTCAACGAAAAGTAGATTTCATACCGGCAACAGCTGTATTGGGCGAGGTGAAGCAGCACAGCCGCCGAAATCGAGCTTGTGTCCCATCAGGTCGTAACGCTTATAATAAATATTGGGTCGAAACGGAGTTTATGTCTCATCGGGGAGCGATTATACATTTGGATGAGAAAAGATGGCCCAGCCGCCGATACCGAGTTTGGTCCCATCCGGGAGCGGGATATTGAGGGGAAGTGAGGCGGCGCAGCGTACATCTCCCGACCTAGAAAACGAAATTTCCCAAAGGCGGTACAAAGCTCGTGGGGTCTGCTAGTAATCAATGCCAAAACTACTAAGCGTAGAAAACTATAATTTGCCATGTAGGTTCTTCGGCGATATAGGGGAGCACTAAGAGAGGATTTTCCGAAATTCCTACGGGACGAAACTACTGAAGATAGAGACTTGACATTTAGAACATAAGTTTATTTGGAGGAGTTAAGGTGTATGTGCTCAGAAAGTACTTCCAGAAATTCCCACGGGAACGGGAAAAAACTGGAGTACTTTTTACACTCTAAACTGCGAAAGAAAGAAATTTTTTGGAACGTAGGTTTCTTTGAAGTTGTTCTCCGAAAGCACTTCCCGAAATTCCCACAAGAACGGCGAAAAATTGAATTAAAACAGAGGATAAAGTTGAACCGCGTACGAAGTCGCACGCAAGCGCTAGTAAATTATATACGCACTGAAAGCTTAATCTTATTACGACAGATCTCCAAAACATCTTCCATGGTTTCATGCAAATTTTGTAGACTATGTCTTTCTAATTTAATGCTTTTGAATATTTATCCCATGCGAGGCTCAGGTAATAATTTGAGTTCGCATTTGGTTACTAGCACAGTAAATGACGTAATTTTAATCGGCATGGACGTGGCGATTTAGTTGAAATGTTAGTGTAGTTCTTATCACAGGATGGATAACATTAACACCCATAGACACCACAGAAGTTCCCAAGTTTAACAAACCTCATCAATTTTACTAGGAAATCGACATGATCTACCCATCTTGGACAAACTTTGAGCAAAAGTAGTGTAAAACTTTGTTCACACTTCTTTGAGAGCAGTAGGTGGGAACTGATTCTTATACTAAGCATTTGTACCATGGCGCAATTCTCCAAAAATAACAAATCTTTCCGTCTTGGCCAACATTTCCTTGGAATGTCAAAATCAGGGTGGAAATTACCTAAAACAAACAATGATCAGAATTTGCCACGTTATTCCTAATGATATCTGTATAATGGCAGATGTAATCTGGACGATGTTATGGGAGTCTATAAGTTATTGAATTTGAGGAGATGATGTTTAAACAATAAAATTTAATCAAAATCGTATACATACTTGAAGCATACAATTACTGAACTATATTTACTATACACTCAGTTACAAATACATTCTGTACACGAATATTAAAAATAACATAAGAATTGTGCTTCTTCCAAATAAAAAATTTAACAATAACGCAATGCGATTCAGGCATGTTTTCTTTTAGAAAAAAATGAGAAATTATGCTTACTTAATCAATTTTGTGCCTCAATAATTTGATATGTTCCTATAGTACAAAAATTTCTTTATAAAGCATACTTACTTTGGATACAATATTATCACGGATCTTTTCTTTAAAACTATTTTTTACTTATGCTTATGACATCACGCTTTGCAGTTTCCATAATATTTATATATAAAAAAATGTATGTACAAAAAGTTGGTTATACACAAATAAAGTACAAAAGATATCTGGGTGGATTAATAAATATTCCATATAAAAAACTTACATCTATTTTACCTCTACAAGAATATATTAGGATTTATACAAGAAGTATATTAGGAATCATAAAACGCTCTTTCAATTAAATGCTAAAGTGTAAATCGCAAAAATGTTCCCCATCTGCACTACGAATAAATATAAAACGACTATGGCACGTGGATTGTTAAGTCTTCAGGGCATTTTTCGACTATTTGCATTTACATCATAGCATTTAACCCACAATCACTCTACCTAAAGACATGCAAATCACATCGATTTATTATTTGCCTATTTTTCCCATTAAAATATTTACGTATATTTTTTCTCACATTTTTTTATCATAGAATTTTCTCATATATGCAAGTGCGCGTAATCCTCCAATTTTTGAGGTAAGATGAGGTAAATAGACACAACAAGAAACATATGTACATAAGATCTATGTAAGTTAGGGAACATGAAACTTCCTATATAATTTAATCAGAACTTTCAAATAACTTCATTAAAATCATAGTCAAAAATATTCAATTATTTCCATTTAAACAAGTCCTGTTATACACAAACTGAGTAGTAAACAATGTGTCCACCAAATATAAAACAACTAATTAGATGGCACCTTTAGACTAGAGAGCTGTGACCGAGTGGCGAGGGGCCCAGGCGGTCACTCAAATAGGCCCGTAGTTACTCAACGAAGGTCCAGAGCCAGGAGCTTGGTGAGTTACGACTACAGGTGTGGCCCCATCGCCTGGCTGTCATACGTGGCTCAACGGTGGCTGCTTGAGTACGTGATGATGGAGGTGGTGCTGACTGGCAGAGGCCACGCTACCGGTCGGCGCGAGAAGTGATGCGCTTCCGGGCCCGGCGACAAGATACTGCGGCGGCGGTTTGCCCGGACGCGTTTTTATTAGCACGGCGGCGGCCCCCGTACGATCTGGATGTCCGACGAGTCTCCTCCACAGTCTTCGCCACGAATCCACAGTTTTTCCAGACCAAATCCACACTCCTGACGTGATTCCGACAGCCAAAGCCATAAAGTATTTCAACATGACTACGGAATACAACGGTCCTTCTTTAGGACGCCCGCCCGACAAAACGCTGTTCATACAGGGGCACGCCAGATGCTTCAGCCACTCATCGTGAAATGCGCACTCGTACAGATAACAGCCTATCACAATCGTCGCAGGAACAGTATAAAGGACGCTGAATATTCCAATTCTGATCATCAGCTTTTCTAGTTTATCGGCCTTTGAGCCGCCATCTCCTTGCTTTTTGATCACGTTGCGTATTCGAAAGAGCGACACGAAACCGGCAAATAAGAACGTGGTTCCCAAAACTAGATAGCACAGTAGCGGCGCCAACACAAACACTCGTAAATTATCCATGTTCATATTTCCAACGTAGCAAACTCCAGAGATCGGATCACCGTCGACAGCCCCTGATAACAGTACGCTCACCGTCTGCATTGTCGGAATCATCCAAGCGCATAAGTGGAAGTACTGAGAGTAATTGGCGATGGCTTCGTTACCCCACTTTAATCCCGCGGCTAAGAACCACGTGAACGAAAGGATAACCCACCAAATTGACGAGGCCATACCAAAGTAGTAGACCAGAAGAAAGACTAAGGTGCACGCGTTGGTCCCCGTGGAAGAATATCGTATAATTTGGTCATCGCACGCGACCTCTTTGTGCCCGAGTACAACTCGAACTAAGTATCCCATGGATACCAAGAAGTAGCAGGCGGATAGAAATACAATTGGTCGTTCGGGGTATTTGAAACGCTCAGTCTCGATGAGGAACGTGGTTAGTGTCATTAGGGTGGACGCGGCGCACAGGCTCGACCACAACGTTATCCATACGATGGCGAATTCTTTTTCGTCCGGTTTGAAGAACGTCTCCTTGCACGGAAACGCACAATTTTCGACGCCCACCACGCTTATGCTTTTGTTGAAGTACGGCGTGTTCTCCAGGGGAACTAGTGGCATTTGACACGTGCAGTTGCAATCCCGTCCTCGGGGTGGTGGTTTTATTTTTTCTCCTGGAGGATCTGCGCAGTTTTTTGAATTCTTACAGACTTTGTTGTGTTTTGGCCGGGTCGTCGGTGTTTTAAATGATGATGATGGTTTGTGCGTCGGCTCGTTTTTGTTCTGATCCATGCAGAGCACTTCTTGCGAGGCGCCGTAAATCGGAAACTGCTCGCACTCCATGCGCTCGGGCCACTTAAATCCGTATTGCTGCATGAGGGGTTCGCACCCGTCTCGGGCGCGCTTGCATAGGTTTTGGCACGGAGGAAGAGGTTTTAGGTAGTCTTTTAGGCAGATAGGTGCGTACATTGAGCAAAGGAAGAACCTTAAGTCGGGCGAGCATTTGATTTCGACCAGCGGCCAGAATTGGTGCACTTCCAGTCCCGCTTCCTCTTGGTTGTCGTGATTCAATTCGTTCGGCATTCGAGTTTGGTTGTAACCGATTCCGCGGCACATCGGTATCGTAATTTCCTCGCAGCGCCCTTCGCCTTCGGACATCTCCGAATGGCTGGAGGATATGATCGAGTTTTCGGCGAGAGACGACGCTACCGTCACTAAGATTAATAAAAAGCACTTCATCGTGTCCGATTTTCCACTACACATAAGTTTATTCGAGTCGCTAACAGTTGATCACTTTCGTCTGCATCGATTGGGACGAGTTTGGGAATGTTGAAGCGGCGCAATCTGAAACAAAAATTGATCATTAGTATAATATTTCGCGTCCGCGTGAGTCATTAAGTAAATTCCTAACGAAAAATGCACTTAATAAAAAAAACGCCCCTTAGTATCTGTCAAATCACGCACGACATTTCACCCTCACACCATTACAGTATTAAAACTCCCTTTAGCCCCCAAGTCAAACATGCCTAGACATCCCATAACTGCATTTCTATGGCTGGGAACTCGCACCCGTAGCAGTGAGTAATGCTGCGGGAGATTTTCGCCAATATCTCCCAAATAAATTTGGACGTAATTGACATCCGGTCCTTTGGGGTGGTGCCTAATAGATCAAAGAATGACGTCACGTGCTCAATACTGCAATTAGCACACGGTTTCTCAGCTTTTAATTCCTCGTGTTGGGGTTGCGTTAAAGGGGCGTGAAGAAAATAGCATATGTTTAAGTATACACGAACCGCTACCCTTTAATTTCCTGATTTATAACTCTATTAAGTTAATGGTAAAAATATTGCGAAAAGTCCGTTTCGTTTATACACGCAAATTTTATTCAGGAAAAACAAAAATCGATTTATTTATGCAAGCGAAATTTGCATTTGAAGAGTGCATGTGCGTGTCGAAAGCGTTTAATTCGAAATTCATTCATCCATCAACTCTCAACACGGTCTCTCGTTAGCGAAATCAGACGTTTATTCTTACTTCAATTTATTGGTTTTACATTTTGCAAATGCACCAGCAGACGCCTGAAAAGCAAATAAGCTCGTACTTGAACCATGTTTTAAATTTTTAATGTACGAGAGTCGATGTACTCTCTGACTTGCACGGCGCATTTATCATCACTCGCATAATAAAAACCACCCACCGTCCACCACGACATTGTAATTTTACAATACGATCATGTGCAAATGTAAAGAAGGTAATGGCTATTAGCCGTACTCACATTACATAACTTCTGGGATTATTTTTGTTGAACATGAATGTCGCTAATTTATGTACCCCTTCAGTTATGAAAGTGTCCTTCATGTCAATTATGCATCTGGTTCACGGGATCGCCTTACATTTTCGGGGAATATACGTTTCCATATGGTCTTTGTCAGAACCTCAAAACAACAATCGTTAAGTTTGATGATAGCACTCATTTAAATCGCAGTTCGTTACCACTCTTTGTGGGGGGCACAATAGGTCGTGTGTCATAAATTTTTTCAATATATGCTCTGCTCATAAAACGTTTTGCAGACCAATCTGATTGCGGAAGGTCTAAACGAACGAACAAGAAATTCCACAAATTCTAAATTGAAAATTTATGACAAAACTTTTCTTGTGCGCCAATATACGCCACACGCGGGTCCTATGAACTACCTAAAGTTTATTTTATTGTTGAATTTCAGCACATAATACGCTTTCAGGCTACTTTATCATCATAGCAAGTGACCAACTTTAAATTAAAAATATTTCTAGTGCTTCAAACTATGTCTGCGCATTCGATCATTTTGGCATCCGTTACACTGCGCAATTGATACTTGGCTGAGTATTGCTTCTTTCTATTCACTTTTCGGCTTTGGCTGTCATCTCCAGTCAGTGAAAACCAAAATGTAAATTTTTCTTGTCGGTTATCAATTTTTTGGATTCTACACGCCAAAACATGTTACAAAATGTCTCTTTCAGGTCCGTGACAACTTTTTATTGCTGAATTTTATAAATGCCTTTTCTTTATTAATATAAAAGTCTATTTTATGATCTCCCATCCTAATGGTCAGATCTTGTCAGTTACAAATTTTTTGAATTCTAACGGCAAAATCTAGAAGATGTCTTGTTCCTGATGTAAAACAAGTACACAATGTTATAGGCAATGTAGGCCCTTTTAATACAGCTAAAATTTTCAATGGGCTCCACTCCTCCGCTCTACATTTCTAAATTTTGAATTGTGGCGTGTCACTAGTGCTCTTGTAAAATCTCTTGAGAAACGCCATACAGTGTGGCGCACTTGGACTAACCATTCATAATTTGTTTAGCAAAAATTAGTAATTTGAGTATGTATTGAATTTTTTCGTAATTGAAATCTAAAAAAATTCTTAGATCTAGTGATGCTTTGGAGTGAGAAAACCATCTACAAACAAAATCCTCGCGTTTGTACCGTACGAGGCGACCTGTAATAGCGGACAAACGGATCTTGGTACTTGAGTTACCTGATGTGGCGACAACACCCTGCTTTGGCCGGAATTTCGTTTAAGACGGGAGGCCATGGCTAACCCCCATGATCAATGGGCTATGTCGTTGGACTAGAGCGCCGACTGGGTGAGCATTTGGCGAGCTAGTGACAGCAGAGTGCAGACTGACTAGCGGAAGGTATGCCGTTCTCGAATGGCCTACCTCGAACCGAAACCAGGCCTGATTTCTGCTCCCCTCTAGAAGCTAGCTCTACTGGCGCCTGGATAGACGTACACTTGGTGGGCTCTGTGGTGGGTGGGGAACCGAGGGGACAAAATTTCATGCGTCTAACATGGATAACACAATCAAAACCAATAAACCAAAGGGGGCGTCCCAGGATGGCGCTAAACAAAAGAACCATCCACCTCCAGTGATCCAACCTTGACCCAGAGGTAGAAGGGCAGACGGCTTCTGTTACCTTAGGAAGGCGCCTCACTGTAAAGCAGGACATTGCCCTCATTCTAGAACCCTGGGTAGTGAAAATCGAGGGTTTCTGGTTTTCTTTGATACACGACAAGAAAAACCTCGAACATGTAAATTAAAAATTTAAAATTTTAAAATTAAATTTGAAATTAACTGTAAGGGAGCCGTCCAAAAGAGTTATCACAACCCCAAGGTAACGAATATTCCCCATTACAAACATCTCCTTTGAGAAAAACGTAGATAGCACCCTCTTGGGGGATACCTGTCGGGCTCTGCCGACTTACAGGACAAAGTAGATTTTTTTACCAACTCCATTGTGGTCATTTGAACAGGCATGTCCTCTGAGGACTGCCAAGGCACCCTTTTACCATCCCTAATGGTGCAGGGCGCTTGAAAAGCAGAAAACTCAGTTGGGAAAATAGAGGTTTGCAGCTCTATAGACTCCCTCTCCTCTGCATCCCGCCTAAATAGAATTCAAACGAAAGGTTCATATTATAACCTCTCTTCCCTCAGACGAGAGGATGGTTCCTACACGGACAACCTTTCAAAGACAGCCTAGTTACTGAGAGACGCCCATTTTCCCAGCGCCATACCCTAACTGGCCAGAGGTAACCCCCTCAAATCCCACGGAGAATGACTGGGTCGATGTGGCGAAGGTGACCTGGGCGATGAAATCCTTCTCAGCATACAAATCACCAGGATTGGACAGCATAGTACCAGCCCTCCTGCAATGGGGACATGTTGTTGTCATCTACCTACTGAGCCTTCAAAGAACCATCTCGCAACCTTGCACGTTTTTGCACTGGGTTATCAAGAAAGAACCTGAGGTTACTCGCGGCCAACAAACACATGCACCGCGTGGGGGTTTGGTAGAATCACCATCTTGTGTAGAAGATGTTACACAGACAATGAGACGGCACACTCGCTCTAGTCCAACTGAGTCGATTCATGTTGGGGAAATCCTGGCTACGATTAGAGCCGCCTCCTCTTCTCGCATCCTTAGGTTAATTTCACGTGTGAGATGGCTTAAGTAACGTTGAGTGGTCGGACGACTCTAGTCAGGGAAGTAGTACAAAGGGCCCGAATTAGAGGCATAGGTTCACCCTGTCCACCCTCCCATCGTAATCCAGAATATCAAACTGTGTTATTTGTGATTAAAGGTTAGTCTCGTTTGTAGTATTTCTTGAGACGACAATTTTACATTTCTTGGATTTAAATTCCGAGTTAAATTCACTTAAACATTTGATAATGGTGTACAGGGTGTCCCATTTTCGACACTTTTATAGCTGTTATCAAAAAAATAATTTAGGCGTCATTTCTTTTTTGATCCAACTTAAAATAGTGAAATTAGTTTGATAATCTTGGTCCACTTAAGAAATACGGGAGAGAATCAAAATATGTACTGTCGATTTAAAAAAAACCCTATACTTTTTTACTTAAAAGAGCTGTTTATTACAACATTTCTTTGTAATAATAATAAATATACGGGCTCAGGTAAAGAAGTTATCGGGCCTAACCTCGTTTTTTTAATGGAACACCCTGTATATTTTAATCCAAAAAGATAGCATATTCAATTCTCTTTCAAAAATAGAACACTAAAAAAATTGCAATCCTTTCAAAAAAATTCATAAACTTTTTGCATCTGACCCCGTATACTTATTTTAAAAGAGCAGATTATTCAACAAGCTTTTGTATTAAACATTTTTCACTAAGAAAGTATAAGGTCATTCTGAAATTAACACTTTGCTGATATACCCCGTACCTACTAAGCGAGCGAATATATGTTTTATGTGTTGCTCCATGTATAAGTTGAAGTAATTGAAGTAATATCGAAAGACGATTGTTGCTAAGACTTATATTTTTTCTTTTTTCTTTGGACTATCGATTTCGACGAGCGAATGTTTAATTTTTGATTTTTAAGTTTGACCCAAAAGGAGCATATGACGCATATATTACTTTTCTGATTAACAATTCGGGATGTCCATTAAGTTAGCCTCCCCCCCCCCCCCCACCCCTCCTACATCCAATTTTTTGTAAACTACTTCAGAATGAATTGCTAATTAAGTAGTCGCCAATAAAAAAAGTTAGTGTGTTGGCCGTTGTGCACAAAAAAATTATTTTTGTTTGGGTGGGGCTAAGTTAGCATTAAGCTACACCCCCCCCCCCCCCAATAGAAAACCTTACAAAAGTAATTAATCTGCTTATAATTAAATGCTTATTTGGTGCTATAGTTCATTTTGAAATGGTTTAAAAAATAATTTGATGCACTGGGGGGCCTGGACGTCAATTTTCCCGGAAAACTGTACGACGAGCTCTAAAAGTGCACAAACTCGACCGAATTGAACAAAGAAATGGGCACCGCGTCCTCCAAATATTAC